CAAGGGTTTGTGGCTTATTCTGTAAGTTCATTGTGATTATGGAGAATGAATGCCTGAGTTTAATGGGAAAAATGCCTCCATTTCAGGAAACTAAAAGATACAGTTTCATCTTACTTAGAAAGTTCTGCATGTGCAGTTTTATTTAGGTTTCTCTCAGAGCCTCAAGTCTGCACGTTGAATTTAATCTACTGGTGAGGAGGGAAGAGAAATGAAAATCCATTTTGTTACCAACATCCCAGTGATGTTGTGGGGAACTCTGCCTTGTTTTCCAGAGCAAACATGACCTCCTACGAGATCCTGCAGATGGATTTTGAGATCGACAACGCCAGCAGCCTGGCGGGGGCCCAGCAGATCACCTGGCAGGTGGAATATCCACGGGACGACTCCGTCAGCGAGCTCGTGGTGTCCGAGATCTTCGTCAGCCAAACGATGTTTGTGGGAATCATTCCCCTTGCCATGGTAAGAACCTGCTGCTGCTCCCTTTTCCTGAATGATTCTGTAGGAATCATTCCCCTTGCCATGGTAAGAACCTGCTGCTGCTCCTTTTTCCTGAGGTTTTTGTAGGAATTGTTCCCCTTGCCATGGTAAGACCCTGCTGCTGCTCCCTTTTCTTGGATGATTTTGTAGGAATTGTTCCCCTTGCCATGGTAAGAACCTGCTGCTGCTCCTTTATCCTGAATGATTTTGTGGGAATCATTCCCCTTGCCATGGTAAGAACCTGCTGTTCCTCCCTTTTCCTGGATGTTTCTGTTGATGCTCGTTAGTATTCCAGGGAATGGGAGCCTTTTTATTATGAGCTGCTTCCTATGCACCTGCTGCAAGTGATTTAAATGCAAAAAATACATTTCAATAATATTTTATTTACCTGATGTTCCGTAATGGCTCCTTGGAAACCATTTGGGTCTTTTGTGAAAATCCTTTCCCGTTTGTGGGTTATTGGCCTGGTTCATGGAAATTGCTCCTCTGGAGCCGTTGTCTTTGCTGTGAGAATGGGACTGCCACAGCTCTGAGGGTAAATGTTGGCATTAGTGGGGACATTGAAATAAATTAGCATTGCATGTGTGGGAAAGTTCATTGCTAAACCAAACAACTGGACTGTTTGCTGCTCATTTCCCCCAAAAGAGCCAAATAGTCCAGTGAGCTGCAAAGTATCAATTTAATAAAAGGCCTGGTTTGAGTTACACAGAAAGGATAAAATACTTTGGAGGTGTCCTGCAGGTTTAAGGTGGACGTGTGCAGCAAGCTTGAAGCTGATGATTTATTTAAGAAATTCAAATATCTCCTGGTAAAATCAGAGGCACCTTTTCTAGAAGGGACCTTTGACCTGTGTTTGGGCCTGGTGGGCTTTTTAGTCCCAGAGCTTTACACATGAACAAGGATTTCAGTGGGGAAATTCAGGTGTAAAACCAGAGAAACATCCAGAGAGTCTCGATGTTCCAGCACTTCCCTCAGAAACACCCACCCTTTTTTTACTTGCTTCCTCATGAACATTTGCCCTTCCTTTCTGAGTCGATGTGTGCTGATTTTCTTTCTATTACAATATATAAACAGCAAAATATTGGTGTTTTCCTCTGCATGACCACTGGCATGACCAGAAGCAAGGAAAGATGCTTGTAATGGAAACAAGGCCCCCAAATAATTTTAATTTCCATTTCCCACTGCCAAAGGCTACACTTGGCAGCCCAGTGATAGGGAAGAAATTACAGAAAAGTCAATAGAGTGTTTTCTTCTATTCCCATTTTTTTTCCTTTTTTGAAAATGTAGGAGATGAAAGAAAGGTGGAGAAATTAGCTGGAAAATCCTCCAAATTAAAATGAACTTTAATTCTCAAATAATTCATTTCCATTTGAATGATCCTCCTATAATAAATCTCAGTTGTATTTATAGACATATTCAGTGAGTTCCACATATGTAAATAAATAAAACTTTTGCAATAATGAGAGAAACTAAAACAAAATTTCATTTTGAAGGAGAGCCTGCTTTCTGCACCACCTCACAGTTCTCCCCAGCTCCTTGAGCTCCCAGTAATTGAAACATCCAGTCTCAGCAATTTTCTGTGACCTGAAACACATAAAATACATGAAATCCATCGTCCTGTAGCTGCCAAAGTATTTTCTACTAAAAAAGGGTTTGAATGGGCCTGCTTGCACAGGGGAAATAAATAAATGCTAATTCCTAAAACTCCGTGCAAATTAACAAATGAGCTTTTCCTTAAGTACTCTATTATTATTTAGTATTTATGTAGTGTTTTATACTTTCAGAACTCTTTGCAGACATTAATTAATCAGACCTGAATAAACTAAGCTTGATGAGACTAGAAAATTAAATGAAGTCACACTTACTTAGTTTTACCTGTTTCTGCATGACTTCTAAGTCCCCTTTTATATTCTTAAAGGTACTTTCCAAAACACTTAATCTTAAAATGCTCTTACTTATTATCTCTAAAAACTATTTTGGTTTGAAAAGAGGTAGAATTTATACCTTTAGGAACAAGTGGCAGCAGGGATGAGTGGCTTTGAAGGCTGTAAATGCTGTTTTGTCACCCAAACTCTTGTTTTGTTTAGGCTGAATTAATTCAGGTAAAAAAGCAGGGATGGGAGGATTCCTTAGAAGCTGGAATATTTAACTCCTGGAGGTTTCTTTGGAGGAGAGTGGAAGGAATATTTAGTTTTATCTAAATTTTTTGTCATTACCTCTTGAGATCAAAAGTTGTTGAGAGATTTTATCTCTAGAAATGGCTCTGGGAGCTGCTGAGGAGGGAGGTTTGGAGATCCCCGCGGGTTTCTGGCTGCACCATCCTCCTGTGGGGCACCAACGTGGGATCTGCTCCATTTAACATTCCAGGATCCACTGTCAGGTGCAGACATCAGCCCCTTTGCCCCTGGGAGCTTCTCTCCTCCCCTTGCTGGTGATGAACATCTCTGCTGATTGATTCTCCCAGCATCTGCTGTCCCAGTGAGCACGTGGAACTCCTGTCCCCCAAAGCAAAGGTGATCCATTCCCATCAAACACAGCAGAATAACAGACCAAGCTGAGGAAAGCACAGCCAGAGCTCCTCTTGCTTCCTCTGTTTGTTCTGCTACTGAGTATCAGGGGGAAAATGTGATTTTCTTCTTCTGCTTGTTACCATTGCTGACTTTAAACACAGCAGGTGATTATTTTAAAATAAGGCTTATTGCACTGAAATAGGATGGGAGTTGTGAATCTGGTTGATGTCTGATGCAGCAGAAGGTGTGTTTTAGGCATCCAGAAGGTCCAGCAGAACATTCTAAAGTTGGATCTGAGCTAGACAGCTTGATTTGTCTTAATATAAAAATGTGATATAATAATCTTGCAAAGTGGAAGTGGATGTCCTGCTAATTACAGAAACTGATAGCACAGATAAATCTGTTCTGTCCAGTGATGATATAATTCTGTAATTCTCAGTTACTGCTCTTGATCTAGGCAGGCATCATCTGCAATTTCCATAGTTGTGGAGAGCTGCTGGTAGCAAGGTCATCAGTGGAGTCTGACGCTCCTGGGATGCAAAAAACAAACACTTCCCCAGCTTTGAGTCTGTCATCCAGGTTTCTGTCACAAACAACTGTGATTTGATTA